GAACCCTTCACACTCCACACTGCCGTTATCAACCTCTTCACCCTTGTGCTGGGAATGTTGACCAGAGTCTGTCATATTGTTACGTAGTCCTTCTTCAGGTCCTATTAAAGTCTCCTTCTTGCCCCGTCGAATTCGTCTGCTATTTCCCTGGTACATATATTTCACTCGATACCTGCCCCCATCTGTGCTATTCAAGGCGTAATTAACCCACCTCTGCGTATGGGTCACTAATTCGAGGCAAAATCCTCTGAGTACGTCTCATGGTCATTTCTTTCCTACATGCACCACGTCTTTTGTGAAACCTACTGTCAACCAACTAGCTCCAATCGGCGCCTCATCTATCCTGTCTCTATCCGTAATACCAAGTCTATGACTTGCCATGCCCTAGTTTCTTGTGCGCGAACCCAAAAATGTTGTGGTACTGCTGGCTTTGATTTAGTCAAAATTGTGCACAACGTTTGTGGGTTGGCACACAAGAAATGATGATGCATACAATGGACTCCGGACAAGGTGCGTTACTCTAAATCTTCCTACCAATATGACCGAGTTGAGAAAACAAGGTCAAACAACTTCTATACAACGAAAGAAGACTGCGACTACACAAAAGGTTACACCATCTTGGTCCTTATACCTTCGATTAAACTGGCCATGTCATAACTTCATAGAATAAAATATTTCTAGGCACATTAACGTTAACAGTTAAAAGTATAATATACTTATACTTGATGATTTATGATAACTAAATATTCTGCCTATAATAAATAATAGATAATATACAAGTCTTGTGCATTAATTATAATTTCGTTTGTATATTCCTCTGCTGGCGTCAGAGCGAGGCGGTCAACCGCCTTCCCCTGCCTTGTTATGGCTGTTGATACCCAAGGGAATGAGATAGGGTTAGTCAAATTCATATAATACTGATTATTGTTCGTAGGAAACTTTTCGTTGGGGGATTGCATCAATCGACAGATAATGGTAACTGTTTTATATCTTTCCTTGATTATGTTATTAGAATCACTTAAGGCTTACTTTTCTAAATTCGGGGTAGTTGAAGAGTCCATTGTCATGATGGACAGCAGGACAGGCCGTTCTAGAGGCTTTGGATACGTCAGGTACAAGGATTCTGTTGCTGTCGACGCAGTGCTTACACAAAAGCCGCATATTATAGACACCAAGGAGGTTGATCCAAAAAAATGCAACATCAATATGAAGGGAAAAGTAATTCATAGCACAGCTATCAATTTTTATCTATATAGAATCGCAGGAGTCTAAAAATATTTGTTGGGGGCGTACCTTTTGACTACGACGAAGAAGTATTACGAGTCTATTTTTCACAGTTTGGCAATGTAA